ACAATGCCAATGCATTAAAAAAAGTAAAAAAAAAAAAAAACACACACACACAAAGAAAACAAACAAAAAAACACCAGCGTGAAATACATAAATATATAATCAACAGAAAGTACGACGATACACACACAAAAATATATATATTTTTTTTTCTCAAGAAATTTCATTGTTTATTTTGAGCAAATATCCTGAACGACATTTCATTATCAATGGGACCGACTCCGTGGCCATTTCCATTCTACAACATCTACTCCAACATGGCCTTCCGCTCCCTCACCAATCCCAGCAAATGATCACGGGTAAATGGTCCGTGACCGCTTGTAGTATTATTTTCATTCAAATTCCTGCGACCCCATTGGCCGCTGTCGGAAAAGCCGTTTTGTAACTGATCTCCAGCAAAACGTGGGGTAGAACTGCGTGACGGAATGCCAGCCGCGGGTTTGTCTTTTCTAATCCCTCCTGTCGTGGCGATCGCCTTTACATTGGCACCATATTGAGAGCCATCCATGCTCGTGATTCCCTCATTTTGTTTCCCATTTCTACGACCATCGGCTTCTCCTCCATTGATCTCCGTCTTACCTGTCCCCCTTCCATTTTGCATGCGCAATGGCGGGTCATTGATGCCTTTCTCCTGCAGCATCTCCACCGGAGCAGCGCCCCGTTCTCCCGTGGAACCTCGCTTTAACTCCTCGAGTCGTTGCCACTGCATTTCTAATTTGAACAGTTCATCGCGTATTCTTTGAGACTCTTGGGATAATAACGGAATTCCTTTCCCTTGTGATACCTCGCGCTCCGTGTTATATTCTTTGCCCCTGACTGTGTCAGCGTCATCAAGAAGGTTGCGTGTTGCCGACGATTTCCGTGCCGCTGCCGATGGTAGTGGTGGGGCTTTGCCTAATGCTGCTTCCTCAAAAACGGATGCATTCCTAATAAATTTCGATGGATCACGTTGAAATTCTTCATAGCTGCTACGTAGGCGCTTATAAAGGTCTTCAATACCCTTAAGGTACTCGGCCACGCGCTCATCTTGCCTTGCGGCTTCTTGGTAAGAAGTATGATGAATACCGCTATGCCTAGCAGCATTCGATAGGCGACTGAAGTTATCGTTTCTGCT